AGATATAGACAATCAATATAAATATATATTAACATATAATATAAAGAATTAAAAACTTACCACTACTTCCAGCACTATCCAAGGAAGATGCACCAGAAGCCATACTCTTAATTCACCGAGGATCTACCACAAATATTTCTCTAGCAAGGTACGTGCTAGGTATTGCCTGGAAAGTATCCATGCGCTGTACTTCACGGAAGAGTGAACCCTTTGTGAATTACTAAGAAGTAGCCTTCGGGATGACATTATGGCTATGGTCTAAACGGTGCATGGCGCTCATCAGAGGGATGCAACAGTGCACCTGGCACACATACACACAGAGCAGCTCTTACTCCAATACAAACACGTGCCTCGTAATATCGAGACTTTTCATGCATCACTTTTTTCCGCGCGGTTACTGATACGGGAGAAACAACGGGTGGACGTATGTTTTCTGAATGGACGTAATAAATTAATCTACGTTTTGCTGATGTGTCTCAATGTTTTGAGACCGCGTCGCATCCGTTCTTTTTTCCCTCTAGGAGGTTATTGATTCCCGTATAAGAGTGAAGCCAGACGAGTAATGATCATTGGCTGGCTCATTTCTAACAAACTGAAAACTTGTTATCACTGTAGAAAAAAAGGAGCCAACAAGCCTTCCAGCGGTAATCTTGATCACGCACCTCTTCAGAAAATCCATTAACTCGTTCGACAACACTAAAATCGACACAATTTTCACTGATTTCAGCCGTTCAGATCGCTACAAACTGCGCACCGTTCATCCCGAAGCAACTAATGTCCCGATATTAACGATAATTGATCGCTCACCTGCTGCACCAACGAACCTGACAATTAGCCATTTTCATTCCGCCACTACAGTCTGTTTCGCATTGTCGATAATAAACATACTTTATGGACGAGCTTGTTACTTGCGGCGCTAGTATCCACATAAAATCAGTCGATTATGTTGTTTGGAAAGGTTCATTCTAGAAGAATATTTTTATTTAATGCATTCTTAAGTTTGTATTTAAATAATAATTATAAAGAACATATAATATTTTTCAATAATATTTTATATTTTATGTAAATTTGTAAAATGATAAGTAAATTTGTATCAATACAACTTTTTTGATGTATTATTAAGAAAACTACGTTATCTTATGAGATCAAGATTGATTTTTGTTTGTTTGTATTGGAAAGAATACACACACACGCGCACACATAATATTTTGATTTTAAAAATATGGTTATAATTAAACTTTTTATTTTTTATGAGACTATTGAAATAAAATCGATTAAACAAGGTCAATTTTAAATCTTATATTTAAATATAAATTCAAATAATGTTCAATTAAATATTGTAATATATATTTGTAACAATAAATCTACTTGATAAAAATAAAATTATTTATAAAATTTACAACTCTACATGTAAAAATATATAATCATAATAATTAATAAAAACTTATATAATTTAAAATATTTAAAATTGTATCAATATATATTTAAATAATTTATTACATTAAAAATTAATGTTATAGTTTTATTTTAATAAAAAAAAAAATTTTTTTAAATTTCAAATTATCAATATTGAAATATATACTCAAATCATTTATTTTAATAAAATTTTTGAAATTAATAAAATAAATACGCTGTAACAATTATTTACTTAATTTATTAAAACTCATTTACTTAATTTATTAAAAATTACTTACTTATATTAAAATTATTTCATATGATAATAATTGCAAAATATTGGTTTAAATCATTTTATTTATTGGCGAACATCATTATCACTGATTTTCAAGTTGACAGTCGTGCATAGAAAAGAAAAAATAGTATGCGCGAATACTTACACCAGTCATAAGAAATATATACTTTCGTGTCATAGTGTCAGAGAATAATAGTATTCGCAATTCTGTTAGATAGATTTGGGCGATTAATATTAAATACAAAATATATATTTGTAGCAGTAATATTTTATCTCTCTTTCGTTCGCACTCACACTCTCTCTCGTAATATAATAACACATATCTCTTTGTAATATAGATAATCTTTCTTTGATTTTGCAAGGCCAGCATAGAAATCACACTAGAGAATGATGAACTTAGTCTTTTTTTTCTAAATTTTAGACAAAGAGACGCTCTTATCAAATGACCCATTATTTAAACGTAATTAACATTATATACATTTGTAAAAGTAATTTCGACTAATTTTCGAACTCTTCATAAATATGAAATTTAATGCGCAGTAATGAAAATTTGTGAGTACTTGCATTTATATTCGATAGTGAGATATATGTATACATGCTATTAAAATTTTATTCATATCCTGCAGCATCAAATTTTTATATTGTATGTATATACGTATGTGCGTGCTTTCTTCAAATCATTTAGTTGTTTGTTTATAAAACGATATTTTGGAATTCAAAATCACTCAAGTATACATTTTCTGGTAGTCGAGACGCTTCGAGTATCTCTCTTACAAATTCCACGAAATCAAATATTCGGATAACCTATTTTTCGCTCAGTCTAAAACAACATTGTAAATATACGTTGATCGTAAACTCTATAAAATACACCGTGTGTGCTCATCTTTACGACAGTTAAAAATAGCATTACTGGAAAGTGTTCGCAGCGATTACTATTTTTTGTATATCTTTTAAAAGTTTCATTTTGCTGAAAATTTTAGCCGGCATTACAAAGATCATTATTTGAAATAAATTCAAAAGTAAATTGTCATAAAATAGATTCCAAGTTATATAGTTCTTTTATATGGGATGATTTTTTGACGAGAAATTTTCATTTTTTCGTATACCACAATTTTTTTGTAGAGATAAGGATTCTCGTGAATAACGATTTTTCGCTATAAACAACAATACAAGTAATTGAAAAAAATCGTGTCATATCAAGAAAATGACAAATTAGAAGTTTCATTTAAAGAGGAAAATTGTGATATAGTCCAAAACGACATTGTTACAGGCAGTGATAATCGTAATATGTCTGCAAAGTATTTATAAAGAGATACAAAATTCAGAAAAAAAACTTGTACTTGTAGAAAAAACTTTTGCTTGAGAAAAGTACATGCTATTTTATTTTACGCAGATTTTAGAGGCGAATATTGTATGAAAAGGAATGTAGAAAACTAAGAAAAGTAGATTTTTACTATGATAAACTTTGGTATTATATATGAGTGAACTTTCGAGTCCCTCTGTCCTATCTTTTCTTCAACATTTTCGATCTTTCTATATAGAAAGATAGCCAAATA